AAAAAAAAAAAGTGTCAAATAGCCGTCGCACCTTCCTCCGTATTGTTATTATTGTATACTTACTCGTTTTCGTGGACTTCCTTATGTGGTAATCGACGCCTCGACGTATATTATATGCCTCCGTGCTACGTGTGCAAATTACTTGAATTGTACGTATATTTATGTATACATTATTTTACTGCGAAAACGAAGGCCAAGCAGTGTCAAATTTATACACATCACACGAGTAGGTATCGCCATGTGTTTGTTGTACTGCAGAGATATGATAAAAGTGTCGTTATTGTCGAATTGATTTATTTATTCTTTTTTTTTCGTATTACTTGATACACTGGTTAATCGTTTTTTTCACAACCTTTTTTTTTTTTTTTTTTTTTTTTCCTTGAATAAAAATGTTTTTTCCTCTCTTTGGAGCACATTCAACGCACCACCGTGGATGTACATAGAAATTCCTCGCTATTTTTATAGAGGACGCACTTTTAGTCCAACCAATGTAATAATGTTTACTTTTAGCTTCCAAGAATTTTTATCCAAGCCGTGAAAGCCATGGGTCTCGAATGTGAAACATGTTATACTTACATCCATGTATATCATCGGGCATAAAGCTAACAAAAATTCGTCACTCGAGTGATGGCCTTAAAAATCACGCGCACACGTGCGTCCGTTTCGCGTGTAAATCTGTCCGCAAAATTTGCATACCAGAAGCCCGTAGCTTTTAAAGAGCCAAAAAAAATTAATAAATTATCTCTGGACTGGAAAAAAAAAAATTACGTCCCAGAAACCTGTCTCTCGTCTATCTTTACACGCATACATATATGCAAGCAACTTTTGAAAAAAAGATGTGAAATGTCGTATGTTATTTACAACATATACGTTGTATACGAATTTCTAAATTGATCAGTAAATGTTTGATTACTGATTGACGCGTTTAATGGAATTTAATTTCAATATATTCATAGATTCAGGTTTCATCAGTTTGCCCATAAACGGCAGTTGATGTCTGTGTTGCTTATATTTAGAAACGATTCGAATACACGTTTGAAAGCTCACTACATAGTGCGAGAGTAGAGCTTTCGCGTCGTGTCACCGGATTACAGCTGTAGATAATGTAGATAGTCTCGATACTTTTATCAACCGCAATATATCGGTAACACATTTTGTATACCGATACGCTTGCCAATCATGCAGACGTTCTGCAAGAACATTTTTGTAGTTAAGTATATTGATTGCGTCAATTTAATTTAATTTTCATACGAATTTCCTTACACTTCGACATAAAGTATTTAACAAAATCGTTACGCACGATGTTTTTTTTTCCAACAATAAATTTTTTTTTTTTAATTCTGTATAAACACAACGTATGATTATTACTGAAAAAAAAATCTCTAGTAGCACGTAGGTAGTTAAGAATTAAATAATCATCTAATAAAATTATTTGCAAGCTATAGATAAACCTAATTCATATTTTCGCGCGCTTGGATCAAACAAGCTTTCGCGCCTAGGGTTATTTTCCCTACTTTCACATGTCCCTACATTCCTAGTGTAGTTTAGCTTTGCTACCAACTTAACTCGATTCAACTTTCCATCGAGCTGGCGTTGAGTCTTTCTTGTAACCTCACGGTTTTCGTAAGCAGCCAACAAAATGGTAAGTAACAATTAATTTTAACTTTGCGAATTAATAATCCCACAAGATGCTTAAATACATGATCAATTCTATCGGAACAGCATAAAAAAGTCGTTGATGGAATGTTTTTTCCTCTTTGTGCTCGGCTTCTGCGTTGAAACATCATGTGTATAAACAGCATGTGGGCCTAACCTATAATTCGATTTTGACGTTTGATCGTTGTGTTTATAATAAATAATGTTTTTCAGGTGGAAGGTTCCGCAACGATCCGCACTCGCAAATTTATGCGCAACCCGCTCTTGTGCAGAAAACAGATGGCAAGTGATGTTTTTTTTTCCGTTTACTTATAAAGTACAGAACCGGTGGGAGATACCTCTTGGCTTACATGTGACTTTACGCGATATTGCAGGTCGTCGATGTCTTACATCCAGGCCAATCCTCCGTGAGGAAAACCGATATTCGTGAGAAGCTCGCCAAGATGTACAAAGTCACGCCAGACGTGGTCTTTGCCCATGGCTTCAGGACTGACTTTGGTGGTGGCAAGTCGACTGGCTTTGCCCTGATCTACGACACCCTGGACTTTGCGAAAAAGTTTGAGCCCAAATACAGGCTCCAGAGACACGGTCTATTTGAAAAGCAGAAGCAGACCAGAAAACAGAGGAAGGAAAGAAAGAACAGGATGAAGAAAGTCAGAGGCACGAAAAAGACCAAAGTTGGAGCTACCTCCAAGAAGGTGAGTGCATCCAATGGTTGTTGTGCTACACATCTAGCTTCTTTTATTTAAATTTTACCTTTAACGTGCATAATTAATACCGAATCAATCATATTAACTTTTTGTTTTGTGTTCTTTTCAGTAAACTTGATTACATGGTCATCTGTTTGGTTCTCCTACTCACAAGGAATACATGGCTATGGAGAAGAAAACATCCATTGTGTGCACAGAAATGCATCTCCTCAACATACAGATCACATTTGTTCATTCCCATCGAACTTTATTCTATTTTTGTTTACTTAAAAGTATTTAAAAACTACAAAAATTATATTAATAGTATAATTTGACAACCTGACTTTTTATTTCAAGCCCTATCCTCTAGAGTAGACTTTTTAATAAGTAGTAAATATTTAATTAACAATTATTACTTATAACTTGGTAATGTTGAATGTCATGTCATCGGAAAAAATTGATAATCTTATGATATTCACGCTAAAAATCTAGTTGTCCGATTTTTTTAAATTACGGACGAGCCGAGCCTTTACCTATTTCATGAAAATTCTCCCTAATTTAAGTCGACCAATCGCATGCCGAAAACCACCTCCCACTCCTCATCTTGTGTTTATTGATTGCAGACCCGGCATACAATATGCATGAGTGTACAGTTAGTTCTAGACGACCGTCCTCAGTTAGAGCATAATTTATTTACCGGGGGTGTATTTGTTGTACGACTTGTACGTAACGTAATTAATATTACAAACCTTTGAAAGTTTGCATCAAGAAAAAAAAAAATCCGTAGCAAGTCGTCCATTAAATTGTTCGTGCTCCGCGATTCGCGTCTTGTGTGTTACTTTGCTAACTTCACGTGAAATAGTTGATGTGATTGCAAGTGGAAGTCGTGTTTGACGACAACGTGCTTTAGATTATTAAATAATCAAAAAAGCAGTCACACACAAGCCGCACTATGTACGGGCATAATCCAGGGTACAAGGCAAGGTAGTTATCTCCCACAGGCAGAACCAAAAACAAAAATAAAAACACTCTCCTCTTCTAGTCATTAACCAAAGAAACTTTGTATGAATCTCTATACATTTTACATACATGTACTTATATTCGAAATTTTACAAAAAAATAAAGACTCCTTTCTTTATCTGTGATTGCTAAAAGTAATAAACAACATATGTGGTGTGTGTACGTTGTATTGAAAGGTGGTATACAATGCTTCACTTGGAGCCCACAGGCGAGATCCTGAGGTAAGCGAGCCTTGGCTGAGTTTCTAACAAAACCAAAACAAATGAAATTAAAACGAATTTGTGCAATTAACATTTGCAGCAATTTTTTTTTTTTTTTCTGATTGGTGAAACTCGCATTTTTTTATCATTAACGCTAGTGTCTTATACAAAATCTGCACTCCACAATTTTTTTTACTACCACCAGAGGTACGTTTCAGTATTTTTCAATTAATTGTAGTATTCATCATCTTAGCACTTTAACATGGCGTAAATAATTGGGCAAATTTTTTGTTTCTTGTCATCCATTTGAATCATTCAACCTCTTGATACGTGTACACATTCCAAAATTTATGTTGGTTTTCACTCACATCGTAACCACTACTGTTTTCCAAAATCACTTTTTTTCGTTTGCAAGTCATAGTTAAACTTTGAAATATTAGTATTCAAAATGTATATAAATTACAGTTCAAAGATGAAAGGTGTTATTGACGTTCTCGCAATGCAAAGAGAAAAGAGGCTCACCTTACAAAAAGCCATAACAATTGATTATACTAAGGCAGCTGATAGTTTTACAGTGGCAAGGTTTATATTTGAATGTGGTAAGTGCTAAGATAAACTTATCGTCCAACTTTTAAACAAATCGAGTTTGGTTGAATTATATATTGACTAGATTTTGTTGACATTTAATTGTAAAATTGCAGGATACAAACTTGATGCAAACCCTTTGACAATAGCCACAGCTGCAACATTATTCCACAGGTTTATGAGAGAAGCAACTCCACAGGGATATGATCCATATGTAAAGACAAGCATTAAATTTTTTGTAAACATTACAGGCATACAGTTATACAAGTATGAACGAAAATATATTTTTACCTGTTGCAGCTTATAGCATCGACATGTTTGTATCTGGCGGGAAAAATAAAAGACAATAATTTAAAAATTAGGGACATCATGAACGTAGCTTACAGTACATTGCACAGAGGAGCACAGCCCTTGGAGTTGGGTGATCAGTATTGGAGTATGCGTGACGCTATAGTGCAGGGAGAGCTATTGATCATGCAAATGCTCAAATTTCAAGTGGCTCCAGTTCATCCACACAAGGTTATACTGAATTGAAAAATTAAATTTGTTTTAAAAAGTAAATCTTAAGGGAAATTCAAATTAAAACTATAATTTTTAGTATATGCTACACTATCTGAGATCTTTACAAGCATGGTTTGGAGAAGAAGAGTGGTCAAGGTATCCTGTATCAAGAACAAGCATGGCTCTACTACAAGATTTCCATCATATTCCAGCAGTACTTGACTATCCAGCAAATTTAGTAGCTATAGCTTGCATCAATTTAACTTTGCAAATTTATGGAGTAGTAGTGCCTTTGATGGATGAATGTGACCAGCTGCCATGGTTTAATGTAAGTGCAAATTAATTAATACTCATTTTGATTTTTATGTATTTTATTACAATAGAATTTAATCCATGCATTAAGTAGATCGCTTTAAAATTTTTTCCAATACAACATGAATATTATATTTTTACAGTTAAACATCCACAAATAGCTTTTTTTTAATTCATAAATTTTCAACAGGTTTTTAGTAAAGATTTGACTAGAGATAAGCTTTGGGAAATAATGGAAAAAATTATGTCATCTTACGACGAAGAGCCAGAAACCAGAGATCGTTAGATTTATAATTTGACAGGATTCACACTGAATATTGATAATTTATTGAATTCTAGTAATTATTTCACTTCACTTATCAACATAAAGCTCAAAATTTCAATTTTTCTGCGTAGATTCATACATTTGTTATGTGTAAATATATAATTATGTAATAAAAACATCACTCAAAAATCAATATTTGTTTTTTTCTTTCTCAGCTAATCTTGTAACCCTCGACTTGGAGAAAATTTTGTTTCTCAATTCGTTAAAATTTTTTTTTACAATTTCGTTGATAGTTCAAATATACGCAGTCTTTCGTTTGGTCATTATGTAATATTATTTTAAGAAAATATTGATCAATGGGTTTGCACAAAAAAAATGTAGTAAATGTAGTATTGCAAAAAAAAGATATTTACATAACTACATGATGAGCAATAAGTATATGAATGTAAGAAAAGGTGAAAAAGTCAAATAATATTTTTGTTCGTTCGTGAAAAATGATGTCGATTTTTTAATAATTATTAGGCATTTTATACTTATTTGCATAATTTTTCTTAAGGATCTTTAAAATTTGGATGATTGGGCCCCAGTGATTTCAAAAGTCACATAATATAAGTCTCAAGTATTTCGTATAAAATTCTTGGAAACAAAAAAATTTATCATTGGCAACAGGAAAAAAATACTTTGTTTGTTGCATACTTTCATTAGTACATTGTTTAAAGTTTTAATTTCGGATAAATTTAAAAGTAGCTGATTCGATCGATTTGTCATAAAGTAAGCTTGAAATACTTTTCGATACAGCACCTTTAAGAATACTTTTTACGTTTTTTTTTTTTTTTTTTTTTTTTGTACATTTCCATTGTTTTGCATATTTGCTCTAATGTAATATATATAATTATTTATTTAAAAAATTTTACGAAGTAAAAAACCGGTTTGCAGTGATGGAATAAAAATCGTAAATCGTCAACGAATAGAAGCTTTCATATGTATGTTTATGTGCTTCTAAACTTTCATATAAAAATTATTCGTAATTGTACAACTGTTGTAAATACAATCAATCAAGTGATTGACTTGCTCAGCTTAATACTTGACTAATCATTAAACTATTCAACAATTTTTTCATCGAATCAAAGATACATCTCCATTGAACTAGACTAACTTAATTTTTACAATTTGTTATATACAATACACATAAAAAAACAATTGCACCCTGCAACATTTCAAGCAATCTTTTACATTGTGCCTTAAAACTATTCAAGTCACCAAAATAACCATAGCCCGGTAATTTTCATGAACTAAGGAAATAAAACCCAAATTTAAATGATAATCAAACTTTTAAGTGTACATGAGGGCATCCGTTATTATCTCAATTTGATTTTTTAAGCGTACGCCCACTGCAATCTCTTCTTCGTTACTTAAAATGAAAATCCTAATTTGAAAAATTAATACGTGCCACCAGATCAAACTTGATTTTATTATTTAAAAAACTGTGGATTTTTAACGACTTTAATACAAAAATGTATCTAATGATTTTAATCACATCGGGTGAAATTAAAAGTATGCACCTATTTGTGGCTGTTTTTTATACCTGAATTTTTATTGGCCTAAAAAAACAGTAGATACTTCTAACTTTACTCAATGTAATTTAATATTTTTTCAAGCAGATTAAAAATCGTCGTAGAACAATTAAAAAAAAGCGTTTGGCAGCACGTGTTAATAAAATTTTTATTATGGTTTCGTGATTAGGATTTACATTTAAGGCTACAATGAAGAGATTTCAGTGGATGCAATTAGTAAAGAAAATTTGACAAAAAAAAAAAAAAAAAAAAAAAAGATACTCTGGCGTATGCATGTAAATGTTTTACGAAAATAAGCACTAGAACAAATGCAAATAAATAATTTTAGTTACATTATTACACCATTACAAAAATAAAATGAAAAATTGAAAAAAAAAAAAAAAAACGTGTGACGTAGTCGATACTGATAAAGTCTTTTTCATTTATCAACGCATGTATATCAAATATAACGACGGACTCTGCGTGCAAACCTTAAATGCTATAGATTATTCGTATCAAGTAGGAGAATAAATTCGTGTAGCTTCCCGAGAAAGGAACTTTTTTAATGTGTATATAATCAGTAAAATTTTCTTCTTTTTTTTTTTTCATATCAGTAACAGTAAATTACCCGAACGTAAATAAATCAGACCTTCTTTGGATTTTTTTCCCCATTATTTCTAGGGACATGTTAAAACAGTCCACCATGGACCACAATAAGAAAGCCTGATGACGTTTACTGTGTCCGCGTAATCGTCATCACAGTTGAACATTAAATGACAATGAAATTGAAAAATTGTTCCTCCCTTTCGAATCATCATCTTTGCCGATATCGATGTACATTATAATATATGTAGTATACATGAACTGCGTGTATTTTTACACATAAATAGTTATACAAAACTCGGCAGAACTTTCAGCATTTTTTAGAACCACGTGTATTAGCAGTCATTTTTTTTCTTCTTTTTTTAGTAGTAAGTAGTTTAATTTGCCGGTCGTAATAGGAAAAAAAAAAAAAAAAGGGAGGTGTGGCTTAACACGCCTCCTTTGCTTTCATGAAGTAGGTGAGCATGTCGATGGGCAGCGGGAATACAATCGTCGAGTTCTTCTCGGCTGAGATGGTGTTGAGAGTCTGAATGGTAAAAAAAAGGACGTCAATTTCAATAAATTTTTCAAAGAAAAGTATCAATTGGAGAAAAAAAAAAATAAAATAAAAAAACCGACCTGGAGGTATCGAAGCTGGAGAGCAGCGGGCGAGTCGCCAATGACTTCGGAAGCCTCTCGCAGAGCCCGGCTGGCCTTTTGCTCACCTTCAGCAGCAATGACCTGCGAAAAGAGCGAGACCAAGAAATTTTTTAATCAATTCGTCCGATGTACTTGGCTTTGCAGACGCGAAAATAAAAAGAAAAAGAAAATTCATGAATAACCTTAGCTCGAGCCTCGCGAGCAGCTTCAGCTTCGGCTGCCATTGCACGCTGCAGCTGAACAGGTAGTCGGACGTCCTTACTGAAATTTTTATTGTCGTTAATATTTTTTAAATTATTTCATCATGGTTTTTAATTATTTTATAAACACCAAGAGGATTCCAAGAACAGCGAGGAATGTATAAAGACAATAAACAACTTTACGGGCAATGCTGTTCAAATTTTATTGTGTCGTGACAACGTTTCGACTACACTTTGGCAGTCCTTCTCAAGTCTAAATTCGACGTTGACAAAAATATTACTGAGCAAAGCTCATTGTCTAGTCATTACTTACGAGCAAGAAAAAATGTAACTTATACGAATTGACTTTGGTCAGTAATATTTTTGTCAACGTCGAATTTAGACTTGAGAAGGACTGCCAAAGTGTAGTCGAAACGTTGTCACGACACAATAAAATTTGAACAGCATTGCCCGTAAAGTTGTTTATTGTCTTTTAATTACTTTAATTATTTTNCGAACAAAAAAAAACGGTATGTCATCGCGCACGACAGGCCTTCGCGCTCTCGACGACGATATAGCTCTCTTATCATCGTTCGGTGAGTGCTGAGCCCCAGTGTGTGTAAACAACGTTTGCGCAATGCTGCGAGCACGAGATAAACTGCACATTTCCCTATACACGCGCGTAATGTATATTTTAAAAAAAAAAAAAAAAGAAAAAAAAAATACCGTTTGACAATTTACGGATTTAATTGTATTTATGACGTATTTTTTCGATCCATTGTTAATGAAAGGAGTAAATAATAAAAGAAAAAAGGCTCTTAGCACTCACATCTCGACGCGCTCTACCTTGATGCCCCAGGAATCGGTAGCCTCGTCCAACGAAGCCTGCGGAGAAAAAAAAAACAAAAACAAAAACAAAAAAAAAAAGCCATGAGTTTAGTGTAAATATAAAAAAATGTACAGCTAAAAAATGAATTAAATGCACGGGTCACTATTACGTAATTATACCCTCGTTACCTGCATGTTACCAGATATGGTCTCGCGCTCGCTGAGTATCTCGTGGAGTGGTCTGGTGCCCATGGTGTTGCGTAGGGTCGTTTGGGCGAGGAGTCGAGTGCTGTGATGGGCGTTTTCGACGTTGGCGATCGAGATCGTCGCGTTGTTCACGCGATAGTAGACCACCGCGTCTACGGACACCGTCACGCTGTCCTTTGTCAGTACCTGCGTGGATTAATATTTTCTTATTAATAATTATAATTTTTTTTTTTTTTTTTTTTTTTTTAACAAATACGTAAAATTGGCGATATGAAAAAATCTACATGAAAAAAAAAAAAAAAAAACCATCAAAGTGGTACGTGGAATTTTCCGTACCCGTAAAAGTGCAGAGAAAAGTTTTCTCTCTTTTAAAAAGCAAGACTTTATACTCGACACATTTTTCGACACTGTACACGTGTACTACATGTGTAATCATGCATGCACGTACCTCCTGAGGCGGTACATCGTAGGTTCTCGTGCGCAGATCGACCCGGGCGTAGCTGTCGACGCACGGCAGGATGAAAAAGATGCCTGCAAAAAAGGAGATCAAAAATATTACATGGGTTTGCAGTACTTTTTGGATATACATATGTATTGTATGCCTATATATAAGGTCCGTCGAAATTTGTGTTTTTTTTTTTTTGGGGAAGTCGTTACGGCGAGAATTGATTTTTTTTAAACTTGCTTTTTTTTTTTTTTTTTTTTTCTTTAAAGATTGCATTTGGAAAAAATGTTTTCAGCCCGCACATGATTTACTTCAACGAGGGATCAAATAGCAAAGATAATATCGAAAGAAAATTATCGCAATTAGTACACAACGAGCTAGAGTTGAGTACATCTGCATGTGGGCTTTTATATTTATGAATTCGAACTGATAAATTTTTCGATCGAGAGTACCTATAAATTATGTTTTATTTCAAAAGCTGCGAGAAGCTTGGCAAGAGGAATCTCATCCTGTTCGTGGAATTTTCAGTCCAATACTATACACTTACATTCGCTCATACGAGAACTACGCACGAGTATCATTAATATTAATGTTTTTATGATTGTTATTATTATTGCTTGTTATTGATTGGAAAATTGATTATCACAAATACACAGAATTGATTAAATACTAGTGGGAAATATGTTAATTAGTAAATAATGATAAAATAATCAGTGGATGCATGATGATACCAAATAATTAATTATCAATGAGTAAAATAAGCAATACATTTAAAAATGATTAAAAAAAAAAAAATAATGATTGAATTGGAAAAACAGAAAATAAATTTTTAATGACAAAAAATAATGGGAGAAAAAGAAAATTCATTAAGACAAGTGACTCACCCGGTCCTTTGGCACCGCCCGAGAGAAGTCTACCAAGCCGGAATATGACTGCTCTCTCGTACTCTTGCACCACCTGAACAACCATTGAAATCAATACATTTTCATTACAACAATTTTTTTTTTTCTCTTTGCGTCAGAATAATTTGTTCTTGACGCACACACGCGTTTCACCACAATTTTTTCCCCCCTTATTTACCTTGAAGCAGACAAAGAGTGAAAAGGGCATAGTCATGACCACCAATGCCCAGGAAAGTATGATGAGAACTTTTCCGCAACTTTCTTCATTTCCATCTTTTTGCACGTCTTCCTCTGTTGGAATCAAAATAAAAAATATGTATATGTATATTTATCAAAAATTCCATACAAACGGGCGTAAATTACATCGCCAGCGAATTGCCATATAATCACAATTCGTAGACAAAGTATTCTTTCATCAACGAAGAAATGTACTCGATTCACCCAAAGTGTTGTCGATCGCGTTTAGTTTGTGTTTGTACAAACACGGAGTGTGAAAGACGAGGCTGTACTTCGCAAGGTATAAAAATAGAAACGGTGACGAACAATAAATTTTACAAGTCTACCCTATAAATAGACATCACCTTAACATTCTTAGGCCATACGCACGCGTGCATGTACCGACAGACACGATCGCGTGTTTTATGGATTGTTCCATAAAGACGAGGTCGCCAGATAGGCAACTGATCTGCTCTATACTTAACACACTTTTTTTTTTCCCTTCGTCATACATGTAATGTACAGTTGAGAGCATTTAGGGCACTTGTCGTTTGTATTGGACGAAATTGTCATTGGAGTTTTTTTTCCTTTTTTTTTTTTTTTTTATTCTTTCAATTACTTTGCTATTGTAATTCAAATATTAATCAAATGTTCAACTCATCACTCGTACAAATATATTGTACGTATATTAGATAAAAGTGTACGCTAATAGAATAAACAAAAAAATATTTACTAGAATAGTTCCAAGTAAACACTCTCTTGAAACAAGTTGTAAAAAAATATTTATTTCAAACCAGAAAATATTTTTTAATGTAAAAAAACAATATCTTAACTTTACTTGGTAACTCTCAGAATTTTTTCTGTCAGTTTAGGAAATCCATTCACAGAGCCATTAAAGTTATTGCAGAGCTCATACAAAGACTTTATTAGATGAAATGCAAATAACGACGTTATCATGGCAGATAAGTACGGAGGTACGGTTTTATACTACATATAAATTTAATAAAACGAAGCAAGTACAGTGCCGTCTTTGCATTAAATTTTGAATAGTGACGTTAAAAATGAGCCATCAAAGTCCAATGATGAAAAAAATCAAGCATTAGTCTCGTAGAACGTTTTACGTTGATTTTAATATTCTTACATGAAAAAGTATCGATTTTCATGTCACAGAAGCTCAAGACTACAATGTACCTTCAACTGCTGTACGTATACTATAAATTATTCAAACAAAACAAACTCTGATCTCGTGTGTCTTTTATTGAGCAACATGTTGTTTAATATGGTGTAACATACTTTTTATAGGCTGATTTGAAATTGAAAAAAAACAAAAAAAAAAAAAAAAACAACATCTCGACGCGCTCTACCTTGATGCCCCAGGAATCGGTAGCCTCGTCCAACGAAGCCTGCGGAGAAAAAAAAAACAAAAACAAAAACAAAAAANATCTCGTGTGTCTTTTATTGAGCAACATGTTGTTTAATATGGTGTAACATACTTTTTATAGGCTGATTTGAAATTGAAAAAAAACAAAAAAAAAAAAAAAAAACAAATGATACTTTTTGCAGCAGGGGTAACTGGAATAGTGTACACCATCACATTGATTTTTTCATGGAGAGCAGATAAATTGGAAAATACCCACTCGAGTACCTACCGAATCGTGCTTTGGAAATTCCGTACCATCGAAGCTCATCAAAGTTTCGTGAGCATAATTGACGTAGTCGAGTAAAAAGAGGAAAAATCGATGCAAAAAAAAAAAAAATTTACAAGATTCTTTTAAACTTTTCCCTCGTTCCCACGCATAATTACACGTCAATGAAGTCCTGTTGCTCCCTTTTTTGAAAGCCCCGCGACACATTTTTCAAAAGTCTCGCGTAAAAAGCCAACTCGGCTCGCTAGCAATTACTGCAAATGCCTACCGAGTAATTATAATTACAAGTGCGCGATGCAACGTAAATAAAAAGGGAAACACTTGTTTTTCACGAGTTGCATGTACAAAGTTTACCAAGTGCACATGTAGAAAAACCTTCCCTCCCCCCCACTTGTCTTTTGAAATAAATCTCTTAATTTTTCCCCGCTGCACGCTAATGCACACCGTAAAAGCCAATAATCATCCCTCCCACGTGTACATTCAATTACAAAGTCAAAACTCCCACGTAGGTTACACACCCCCCCCCCTAACTTAGCCATTTACCCTTTTTTTCCCCCGGCTTAATCCGTGCAAATCCGCTGCAAACTGTTTAGCCAAGCACAGGGGCGAGCTCCAAAACAAGCCCCTCCGGCTAAAATAGACACGGGACGTTATAGCTGGTGACGTCGTGTAGCGTATACATATTATATACCTGTACATGCATGTGTATACACATGGCTATACGCGTACATATGGTATATATTTGCTGGACAGACGTGGAGTTGCTGTACATTTGTACATATAATATATACTCGTGCACTGTGCGGCTGGATCGATAAGCCGACACGAGCCAGTGTACCTATGCCCACACGCAGCTGATGTGTATATATAGCGCGTCTTCTTCGCTTCCTCGTTTTCGCTTGACCGACGTCTGGTCCAAACTCGGGAGAGTATATATACATGTATCGCTTTGGGGGTAGTGGGGGGAGTTCATTGTATATCAGGATGAACAGCATCCCTCCCTCTTTTATGGCCCCTTTGTGGTTCGTATATCGCTTGTTTACTCCGATTCTTTTGTCTATTGTGTATACGACACACACGTGTCAGTTTTTCAGCTATACGTCTTTGGCTTTTCTCACTCGAGAGGTCCCACCGTTTTTGTTGTATAAGACCCGGTGGGCTGTGGTTCTTCTTCTCTCGAGTGTCGATGGACAGTGTGCGGCGATGGATGACAATGTGCGTGTTTTTTTTTTTTTTTTTTTTGGTTGAAACACTGATCTTTTCCCCGTAAAGGCTTCCTATTTTCGTTTTTTATTTTACCCAAAGCGCCTTTCGACTCAACGTTTTACAAAATTTTACGGCTTTTCGTGCGACTTGACGATAAGATATCTTTCTTTCATTCGCAAACAACAAAGTCACCGCCAAACAAACTTTTCTGTTGTATAGCTTTGAATTTTTCTCGGTGACGTAGCGGGGACATTGTTGTTCCCCAAACTGAAATTGGTATGGCTTGAAACTGAATGAAACTCAAAATAATTGCGTTTTTCTGGATTTCTCTTGTTACCTGGGAGTCCAAAATAACAAAATTATACTGTCAAAAATTTAATGACGGAATGATTGAGTATCCATCAAGTACACATATCAATCGAGGGCAGCTATCAATTTCAGTATAATCGACCATCGGCTGCAGCTCGGACGGGGCACGCGCGTTCAATTGACAGATGAACGGACGGACACGTGTACGACGAGGTATACTGGTTGGACTTTGCGCGGACGAGGAGAGCGCGTCGTATATTATGCAAGACCGCACCGCGAAACCGAATCAATTTCGATATAGGTGGGTATCGGGGATGAGCCGATGGGCCGATACGGGCTTATTTGGCCGACGGGGCAGGGTCGAGAGCCCTACGATTAGGGTGAGAGAAAATTATTGATTTCGCTCAAACTCCCTAAAGTATTGAAATAAGGATTTTTCGGTGTGTACGATTCTAAGAGTCGGTACGAGGAAAAAAATAAACTGACCAACAGTTCATTTCGATTCGATGTGTTTCTTTTATCGTTAGAGGATGTGGGTTATTGGATGAGTGACATTATTGGGGCATAATTTCTCATGGGTACATTAAATGCTAAAGTCGTCTCGTAATTACTCAACAGTATTGGGTCCCAATGTACTTGGATACCTTTTATCATTAAAAAACCAAGTTACAACAGCTTGTAAGAAGGACAATAATTTTCGTGTACGCGCCAGGCGCCGTCAACTTTAATCTCCTTGCAATTTAAATGTTGACGCTTAGCGCCCGGATGAGGGTAAAAATCGAAGGAGGCATCGAGAAAACATACACGCGTGAGCTTACTTCCTTCTCCCCGGGGGCTGTTGTTGGAGGATAATTTCATGCTGCCACGGGCATTAAAAGAGCCACCTTTACCTCGGCTTTCGCGTTAATTCGCGGCTTACTCCGTCGTCAATCTGGCGCGGCTGCGCGTGGATAAAGCAACGATTGACAGCTCATCTCAATCGGCCCATCTGATTTTGTTTTTCACCGCTCGCATGAGAATTTTATTTTTCAAACATCATTACCATCGCCCTAAGGTTGTTCCGATGCCACGTGGCATATTTTGCCATACGGTAATCGGGTTTTTTGAAGGATTCCAAGCGCGAGCCGAAACGAGCTCTATACCGTTGGAAATAAACAATTGTCCTTTTGACCGACTTTTCTCTCCTCTCTCTACTCTGTAGTTTGCGTTCAAAGTGCAACGGGTTCGCGTAGCTGAGTAAACGTACACACGTATCTCGAGTCCCTTTGTCGCGCGCGCTTTGCGTATATTAACTTCTTTACCCTTTTTAGGCGCAGCACTCGTATAGGGCAATTGTTTCGGGAGACGGCCAAGTGTACTTTTGTGTTCGCAACTTCAGTGCTCTCGAGTGTTGTTGCGAAATCGTGTCGAGTTATAATAAACTCCGACTGTACCTTTTTTTGGCTTATGCCGGAAAAGAAAAAGATCGATTTTAGCGAGTGCAAATATGTTTACTGTTTACGTTGTGTATTACGTATTGTTTGCTTGTAGGCCTATTATTGACCAAGTACGGTGTGCATGGAGGGTCGATTTGGTTTTATCATAGTAAAATTGGGTTGTTAGTGGATTGTTTTATTTGAGATTTGTAGGGAAATCGTTTCGAAGGAAATTATTGTTTGGACTATTGTAACTTGATTGTGTAAACAAACTTTGGCAAAAAAAAACAAACAAAATAGTCCATCGAGTCAAGAACGTCGACACCATCGCGTGTTGTTTGTTTGTGGCCTATTTGGATCGAAATTCAATTGATGCGCTCGCCCGTACAGTTGTAATTGCACGTCGTTAAACAACCCGGCCGCAAAGTTTGGTTGGTTTGAAAAAACGTTCGATCGACGCGAAAAAATTATCATCAACTAAATTGGCGTCTAAATTATT